GGGGGGGGGGGGGGGGGGGGGGGGGGGGGCACACTGGTGAGAGCCATTCCAGCCCTAGAGTAAGGTCTGACACCCCTCCCCTTGCCATCTAGAGCTCCAGCAGGTAGCTCTTGGAAAGGGCCCAGAGCTTGACCAAGTGGCCTGAGGAAGCCTCTTTACCTCAGGGTCGCCTCCTCCCAGGCCCTGAACTGCAGCCTCGTTTTTCTTGTCTGAAAAATGGGTTCGCCTAGGCAGTTTCCCAGGCTGACACTGTGCTGAAGCCGTGAATTCATCTGTGCAGGTCACCTAGGGAGGTGATCACAGTCGCCTCAGCCAGGGCAGCGACTGTCCATTCAGGAGACAGCACTGAGGGCCTTCTCTGTGAGGGGGGCTGATCTGTCCTTCCTGCCTGCAGCCCAGTGGCAGTGTGTACATAGCAAAGGACTTGGGGGAGCGGGGAGGGAGGAAAGGCTTCATGGGCCCCTGCTCCCCCCCATCAGTGGGTTCCCCACCTCCCTCAGGAACAGCAGAGAGCCTCATTAGAGGGGCCACGGCTCTGTGCACTGTCCCCCGAGTGGGCTTAGCGTGAACATGCAGCACGTAGGGCCACAGTGGGGCTGGGAGTTGGGGCGAGATAGAGAGGTCGCAGGAGGCCAGGCAGTGCCTGGGGGTCCTGGGGCCCGTGGGAGAGAGAGGAAGTGGCTCAGCCCGCCCAGGAAGCCCCCAGGGGGTCCTCTGCCTCCCTGCTCCTGGTTCCCCAACCTGTCACACCTTAGATGGCCCTTTCAGGAATAAGCTGGCTGGGAGGGGGGGGAAAAACAGGAAGAGGTAGCTGGGGTCGGAGGCTGGGGTTGCTCTGTGACCCAAGACACATTGTATTCCTCTCCGGGCCTTCCTAATAGCTCATTTTTGGAACAGAGCAGAGGAGAGGCGCCATTCTCCAGGTTATCCCATCCATGTTAACTCCTGCCCATGGATGGCCTACCTGGCCCAGAAATCAGAGCTGCTGGTCACTGAGAGACCCTGTATGTACAATCTTATGCAGTGTTTCCATGAACTGACCCTCAGCAGCAGCCCCCCACCCCCAGGTAGAGCCACTGCCTGAGGTGACCTTAGGACCTCCAGGCTAAGTCACAGGCTGGGTGTGTGGGTCTGGGACTTGGCAGGACAGTAAAGTTCCTGACTTTTCACTGTCACACTGGACGTGTCATAACCCTCAGAGACCTGGCAGGCCTATAGCTCTCTGGCTCCCATGCTTTCCCCTTACCCCACTCCCCAACCCCTGTGAAGTCAGCGCCGCTGTGGGTGGGTTGCGCTTCCAGGGATCGGGGAGTCCTGCCTCTCTGAGGCCCAGCTGTGGCTTCTGTGGCCGGGTCGTTCCCCTCTGGTGCCCCGCAGAGCATGTCCAGCCTGCAGCTGGGTGGCCAGCTGGGGCTGAGGCTGCCTCAGTGGCTTCCTGACTGTGTGGCCTCCCAGTCACTGGGGACTGGTTCAAAAGCAGGTCGCTGAGCTGGGTCCAGCGCTGGGAGGCGGTGCAGGGCCTGGCCACACTGGCAATGACCACAGCTTGGGAACACCTAACCCCATCTGCCAGGCTCAGCAGGTACCAAGAGTGTGGGACCCACACACAGCTTCACCCTGCTGGAGGCTGAGGGCGGGACCTGGAAAGCTTCCCTTCCCCTAAAAGCACACAAAGCAGTTTCCACAAATAGTTTCCCAGGCACCTGCCATATCCCTAGCAAGGGACACCACCCTGAACCCCACCTTCTGGTTCCCACCCTCCTGGGCCTCACATTCCAGAGGAGTAAAGGGGAAACAGGTTTTACCGTGACCACGGCCATGCCAAATCTGGCGACGACTCTTTCCTCTCTTAACCCTCTTCCCCAACCCAGCCCCCTCCAGCTGCCAGTCTCTGCCAGGGACACTCCTGCCTCAGGACCTTTGCACGGCTGCTCCCATGGCAGAGTTCCAGCTCTGCCAAGGTTCTTTTCTTTTGCCCTGTCACCCACTTGCTCCCGACCCTGAGGATGCCCACGTGAGCATTTAGTTGATACTCCTTAAATAGGTCAGGAAGACACTAAGTAAATAATTTGTTCATTTTGGCAAAGCTGTAAGGAAGCCATAGTGGGCAGAGGGTGGGCAGGCTGGGATGGCTTCCTGATTGAGGCTCAGTCCTGGGCGGGAAAAATGACCCAATGCTATACCTAGGCCTTGGAGAAAACTTAAATGTGGTGTCATCCCAGGTGTGAAGAAGCTAAGAGAAGGACGCTTGGGTCTAGAGAGACAGCCACACCTGGTCATTCGGTACTCCAGAGCCTAGGAGCACCCGAGTAAGGCCTGGCAGATCCAAGAGAACGTACTCAGCAGGAGGGAAAGGGTTAACCTCAGACCTCCCAGCTCCTCTAATCAGGCCCAGGCCTGGGCTGGAAGCCCAGCTACCTCCCTGCCCCTGGCCCTCTGCCAGCCAGCTTCCCTGCCCAGCCACCGCTGGTTTTCATCTGCTCACAGGGGGCCAATTCACAGCAGACCACCCCAGGCCCGGCACCCGCCTGCCACCCCAGCGGCTGATCCGAGTCCGGTGTAAATCTCCCCACAGGCCGCAGATCAAGCTCAGCAGCAGGCACACAGTGGCTGCTGTGTGTGTGGGTTGCTGAGCAGCCGGCTGCAGGAAGGCTGCTGGGAAGCTCGGGACCAGCCCCGGGCACGGTGGCTGGGACTCACCTTGTTCTCCAGGCCCTGCCTGGCTTTGCCTCTCCCCGAATCCTACCTCCTGCCTTGTGGAGGCCAGACATGGACCTGGCCTCTCGCCAGCCGGAGCCCAGCTCTCCTGTGGGCTAGGCAGGCAGCTCATTGCAGGGTTTAGTATCACCTTGTGACCTTGGCCTTGTGCCTTTCCTTTCCATCTGTGAGCCTGGAGGTGGGGGCTGGGGGGGGGGCAATGGAGCCTCTCAGAGGGCTGTGGCCTTGCAGTTGTATGTGTGGTCCGCCAGGCATAGAAATCCCAACCTCCTTCTCTGCCTGCTTGAGGCACAAGCTAACCCAGACAGATGCTTGGCTTTGGGGGCAGCAGGAACCTGGCAGGTGGAGGCGCCCGTGCTGGCCTGGGGGCAGTAACGGAGTCCCAGCTGGACCACATAATGTATCCCTGGGGAGTCTCCCAGGCCAGGGGCTTTGACCTACCTATGAGGTCAGCTATAGCTCTGATGACCCAGGAATGGGAGGCAGGGCAGGGCAGGGCTGACAGCTCCCCTGCAGGTCAGAGCCTGTGGGCTGTGTACCTCTCAAACCTGACCTCACCTTTAGGGAAGCTCTAGGCTTTTTGTTCCCATTTTACAGAAGGAACAGTGGAGGCCGGGTGGGAGTCAGCAACTTTCCCAGAGCCACCACTGGGGCTCCTGGCCTTGGAGTGGGCTGTCTGAGATCTCCCTCCCTCAGGCAGGGCCCCTGGCACTCACTGGGATCACAGACTCCCTGCCTGAGGTCAGCAGGCCCTAAACTCAGGGGTCCTTCTCCAGACGCCCTTCTTTCCACGAGGATTCCACTTTTACCAGACCCATGTACCCCAGGGACGGGGGTAGGATGGTAACTGATGTACAGATGTGGAAACTGAGGCCCTGGGGAAAGCAGGACTTGGACTGCAGGAGTTGTGTGACTGTGGCTCGACCTGACTTTCAAAGCAAGGCAGAACCCAGCTGGCTTCACCAAGATCCCTGTGTGTGTCCTGGTTAGGTGTTTCTGTTGCTTTAATGAAACACCAGGACCAGAAGCAACTTGGGAAGGGAAGGGCTTGTTTCCTCTTAAGGCTCTCAGGCCACACCCAGCTCTGAGGGCAGGCAGGAACCTGGAGGCAGGAGCTGATGCAGAGGCCATGGAGGAGTGGCTGCTTACTGGCCTGCTCCCCAGGGATGGAGTGTGGCCTGAGAGCTGCAATAGGAAAGCAACTCAGGCATTCTGTGTGCTCCCCTGCCCATGTCCTCCCCGTGCACAGAGCACTTTGGGCTGAGCCCTAACGGCCGCCTCCGGGGAGAAACGGTAGTCAGTTGTCTCATCTGAGCTGTCAGCCCGCCAGTGGCTCTTCCAAGGCACCTGTGCAGTGGGGACATGGTGGTTCTCCTTCATGGAAAGGCCACGGGGGCCAGCAGGGCTGTCCTCCTGCCTCTGCTGTGGGGAGAGCGCCCTCTGCCCAGCAAGCTCCAATTTCTTCTGCTCTCACTGCTTTGGGGGATGTTCATGGGGCTCCTGGGTTGGGCCCAAAGGACAGGAAGCCCTTCTGACAGAGACTGTCCTACACTGAGAAGGACAGAGAGTACAAGAGAGGCTGGGCTAGTAGCAGCAGGAGGCCAGAGCTGCCCACTGCCTCCTTCCTTTCCACAGGGGTAGGGAGGGGCTGGAGGTCAGTCTGACCAATGCTAACTTCTTGTGATTTTTAAGTCAGCGCCACTCTGAGGCAGAGGAAGCTCCGAGAGCAGGCGGTGTGGTGGGGTAAAGGGAGGAAGGGACTGACCCCAAGCACAGGAGGGCGAGACCCCGAGTGGTTGAGGGAACCAGACAGCTCCATGCTCGCACTGTGGGAAAAGGAATGAAAGGCTTTTCTTTTCTGTGGCCCACCTCCTCCCCGGGCACAGGCCCGGCGCTTCTGGCGCTTCCGTTGGGTTCTGCTCCCAGCATGAGGGCCTCAGCCTCGTGGCTCTGAGACTCTCTGGCGCCCTGGCCTCGTGGGGTCAGCAGGCTCCCCTCTGCCTCTCCCTGGAAGTGGGTCCAGCACCGCATAGCCCCTCCTCTCTTCCAGGGAGCCTGCCCTTCACCATGGGTAAGCACCGGGCAAGCCACCGGGGTCCCAGATGGCTGTGCAGCCACAGGGTTCCCTCCGACCAGCGGGCGCTCCAAGGGCAAACAGCACAGAAGCAGCAATGGGCCTGGAGTTAGGGATCTGGGCTGACCTCCTGGTCACCACCCCTGCCTCGGTGTCCTGCTTCGTCATCTGCCCTTCCTCCTGTAGCTCAAGGTGGAATGCGGTGTGATGAGTTTAGGTCCGGGCTATACCTGTTAGGGCCCATCCTTGAGCTGGCCCCAAGCCCCGCTCTCCTTCTGCCGGCCAGGAAAACAGCTATAAACACCCAGTACCCTGTGACTCAGAGCCAGGGGACTTGGCTCATCAGTGACGACAATAGCAGGCCTGAGGTTTCGAACCAGCATTCGTTTGGCCCCCTTGGGCTGCCTTGGAACTTATGGTTGACTGAGACAGCCAGTTCCTTGTACCCAAGCTGCCCTCGGGTCAGCCCTCAGCCCATTTATCCGGTGGGCTTCCTGCCTGTTGAGATGGCTTGGAATTCGTTGTCCCAGCTCATCCACATGTCCAGTAGCCTCAGAGCTGGGCTTTGACACTTCTGCTAAGCCTGAAACTACACCAGAGCACCATACCAAACAGCCATCCTTAGTGAGCCACAAGCTCCTCCTCCTGCCCAGTTCCCAGCCACCTACCTGTCTTGTCACAGACTTGCCCAGACCTCGGAGTCTGCAGTACCAACTCCCGGTGTCCCCAGGCCTCGCTTTCCCCTTCAATTCCTAGAGCTGCAGGGAGGTGGCAGCTATGGCCAAACATACATGAGCAGGAGCTCTGAGATCCACGGGTCCCAGAACCTTAAGGTCCCACCTTCAAAATCAAGAGTCAGGCTGTTTCCATCGCTTCCTCAGGTCTCTCGTCCACCCCAGGGGTGGTCAGTCAGTGGTCCTGTCGTGCTTTTCAGGCCCTGGGCTCATGCGTCCAGCTTCAGACAGAACAGTGAAAGACCCAGCGGTACTAACCCACCTTTCTGTCAGTCTAGAGAAGTTCACGTCACTCCAGACCCAAAGACTCAAGCAAACTTCTCATGCTGAACATCCGCCTTACACGTACCTGTCAGGTCCAGGTTTAGGGAGCCCTGCCATCTTGACACTGACACGCTGCGTGACCTCAGACAAGCCTCCACGGGTCTCTGAGCCACAGTCCCGATTTTCAGAGAGAAAGCCTGGAGGCAGAAGGATCTAGTGTTTGGGCGTTAGGCAGAGGTGTCAGACGGGAGGTGTGAGCTTGTATGGGGCCAAAGGAGACATTCAGAATCACTCTCAAGGAAAGGAATGGGGGCCAGGGCAGCTATACCCCCTAGGGAGTGTGACAAGCAAGCCCATGGGACATCCAGTGATATGGCTTTTCTTATCCTACTCGCGAGCTCTTCCAGATGTGGCAGTGAGGGCATTTCAGAGAGGCTGGCCACTGTCCCTGCTTCACAGTGAGGGATCTGAGCTCCCAGGAGTGTCCCTCCAAGAGAAAGTAGCAGAATAACACAGCCAGGCTGAGACCGTTCTAGAAAGTTCCATGAATGGAGTCTTCCTCTGAGTTTACACAAACCCCAAAGGAGACTGGGGAGGGAACCTCTGAGAGCTGGTGAGGACGGGCCCTTGCTGGCAAAGGGCCTCGGTGTTGGAGAAATGAGAGACGTGTGCGGGCACTTGGTGTCTCTCTCACGTGCCTCTCAGCAGGTGCACAGCCAGCCCGGGGCTCCTGCACAGACGGTGGCTGTGCGGAGGGTATTGGAGAGGGCAGGCAGTCTCCTGCATCTCCGCCAAGTGCCCTGGTCCCTTGGCCCTGTGTCTGGGCAGGGACCAGAGCCTGTATATCTCAAATGACCACGCCTCTGCCCTCCTTCCTGAGGCCCCTGTCAGACTGTGTTGGGGACACTGAGGTAGTTCAGAGCTTAACATCTCAGGATGCTGGTCCAGTCAGAGCCCAGGGTGTGAGGTAAGGGTGATGGTTCTGAGGAGAGATCAGGGAGCCTGAGGCGGCACATGGCCACGGTCTCTGTCCTGTTCAGAAAACCAGACAGTTCCACAGAGGCCTAAGTTAGACTCCAGGGAGAACTTCCCAGCAGGCAAGGCATTGTAGTGCCTGATGGGCTCTCTGCGCTCCGCAGGGCACCGGCAGAAGATAGAAGACCAGACCAAGGCCTTCCCCGACCGCTTCGGAGACCTGCGCATGCGCGTAACACCCAGCACACCCAGCCCCCGGGTCTCTCTCAGCACCACAAGCCACTTCAGCAGCCAGGCCCAGACCCCAATCCAAGGTAAGGAAGAACAGAGACCTGTGGGGAGCAGATGGAGCGGGGTGGGCGAGGACCCAGGATGTGGTCCAGCTACCCCAGGCCAAGTCCCTGGGGAAGATGGCGCCCCCTCTGTTTATTGGTGGCCCGCTGCGGCAGTCTGCAGTCTACACTTGCAGGCCCCCTGAGGGCTTCTTTGTACCAGGCCCTTGCCCGTTCGCTCAGCAAAGCTTACTGACTCATGCACAGTGCCTGACCCCGGGATAAGTCTGAGCAGATGTGGGCAGCCCTCCTTCTGAAGCTCATTATTCCCTGGTGACGTGAAGTTAATCCTGTGGTGTCCGTAGAGCCGTGGTCACCGTGACCCCGCTGTATACACACCCCTGCCACCTCAGCTTTCTCACGGTGAGGAAGGATAGGGTGGGCTGAGTGCTATTCACGACACAAAAATAGGGTGCTACGGGGTGCCAGCGCCGCCTGGCCAGTCTCTCTACCCGGAGTCAAATGACTAGAGAGCCCTGGGCCTGTCCCCATTGCTCAGATGAGGCAAGCCAGGCTGGGAGCAGATCTCTCTGAGGCCTGTTGGTCCAGAACAGGTGCTTGGCCGGCCCCACGGCAGGCAGGCAGGCATTGTACTTCTTCGAGGAGGTTAATGTCGCCGGCACTGGCCAGGCAGGGGCAGATGCCAAGCCACAGAGGCCAGAGGGCTAGCTGCTGCCCTGTGTGGTACCTGTCCCTTCTGCTCTCCAGTGCTGGCTCGGGGCCACCATGACAGATGAGTGAATTGATGCTGGAGAAGGTTGAGGCCGCCCTTGGGCCACAACCTTGGCCTTCTGGTGGCCAAGTCCAAAGTCTCCCTGGCCTGTCCCTAGGAGGGGACTTTCCAAAGGCCCAAGAAGGGCCCGAACATGAGGGCCAGACTCAGCTACACGCTGGCACCCCCCTGCCCTGCCTTCTGCTCTTCTCCACACCGGTCTTTCCATGGGGAGGCATTGCCGGGAACACCAACCACGTGCTCTGGGCGTGACACAGTGACACCCACTCAGTAAGTGCCGCTCATGCCCGGCCTTGTCCAGGAGTTTGCCCTTGGCCCAACCCCACAGGCCGGAACCTACAGAGCCTAAAAGGATAGAACCGAGCCAGGGACACCCCAGAGCCCACCAGGGTGAAAAGATCACATGCTCTCCCCGTCACAGTGAGAGGGTGTGGTCATCGGACTCAGTGTTCCCAGGAGCCAGAATTGGCCTCCCCACCCATCTGGGCCTCACCTAGCCAGCGTGGCATGGATGGCCAGTCCTTCCTTTACTGCATCCTGAGATGGGAGTCTTCGGCTCCATGTTTGCTCCAACTGGCCCTTTGGCGCTCAGGAGAGGACCCTGGATACCCACAGCAGGGACGAAGCACGTCCTTGGCCATCTGGTGGACGTGACCAGTTCTCGCTCTGCGTTGCACCGGCTGTGTGGTCTTCGGCCAGTCGCCTGACGTCTCTGAACCCATGTTTTCTCATTCATAAACTGCAAAGAGGCTCCCGCCGCAGAGAGGCTTTGGCAGGCTCAGGTGTGAAGAGGCACACTCTTGGGTCCTTCCTCCTGGTGGGACGAGGTCCCAGAGATTGCCCTAGGATGCCCCATCACTGTCCTCAGTGCCCATTAACCGCTTTGACCCCTAGCTTTGGTCACTGCCGGCAATGCCAAGGCCCGGGTCCCCCCTGCTGCAGACACCCACAATGGGGTCTTCTCACAGCTCAAAGGGCTCATTCAGCTGCACACAGCAGCTGGGGCAATTTGGGGAAAATAAACATTTGCCTGCCCTGCTGCTGGCTGTTTGATGGTGGCCCCGGCGGCTCAGATTTCCTGAGGCCGTGAGGCCGTGAAGCCGTGGGCACGGGAGTTTGAGGAATCTGCCCAGGGTCTGAGGGGATAGCTGGGTCAGGTCCTTTCCCGCCACCCTGGAGGAGAAGTGGGAGCAGTGAGGAGACGGGCGGTGGGCGCAGTGGCAGCTCCGAACATCCCAGGCGCTCCTCTGCGGTGCCACAGTCCCGCCCTCCCATCCCAGCTCTTGTCTGCTCTGCTTTGAGAACAGGGTCCCGCATCGGCGGGCATCGGTGCCCAGCATCCCCTCTTCGGGGCTCTTGCACGTCTATGGGCTTCAGGTACTTCTCCCTCACAAGCCTCAAGACACACTGACCAGCCAGGGCTTCCCAGCGGAAAGCTCCAGCAGCCTGCCCCTTGCCTTTTCTCTCTCCCTGGACCCAGGGGCAGCCCTTCATGGCAACCCCCAGCCAGGACCAGAGACCCAGGGAGGACCCTTGAAACCTTGAGCAGAGCCCAGGAAGCCTAGGAAGGTCTTGGTGACGGCCAGAGGGCCCACTGAGAATAGACACCAACCCTGCTGGCCTGGGGAGAGGGCTTCCCTGGCCTTTCATCCATGATGAAGGAGACAAAAAGTGAGGCTTAGCAGACTCAGGTCCTGGGTCACTACTTGGGACTATTCCCTGCCCACTGCTGCCAGGGTATGAGGAGGGGCCCCAAGCCAGGGTTTTATCTTATCAGGGTCCCAAGCCAGCCACTTCTGGGTACCTAGAGCAATAGGTGTGACCATCAGGTAGTGCCAGCCTGCAGGGCAACCTTGGGGGAGGGGCATAGGCTCAGGAAGTGAGGGTGAGGATGAGAAGAGCCCCTACAGCCAGGACCCCACTCTACCTACCCACCTACACTCGCAGAGAGGGAGAGAGACAGAGACAGAGACATCCCAGCAGAGGACAGAGGCCTTCTGGGACATTCCAGTACTTTCTGTGCATGAGTGGGAGAATCAGCTTTTCTCTATCGCTGCCTCAGTTTCTTCCTCTTCGGAGGCAAGGCCCAGGTCCCAATCTCATGGAGACCCCGGAGACCCTTGATCTTGCCAGCTCTTCAGAGTGAGCTGGTGGGAGTCTTGTCTGGTGCCTGCCGGAGCAGGCTGGGAGAGACACACAGGAGGAAGGAGGGCTGTCCCCTTTGCTTTGGCCGGGAGGTTCACTCCCGCGGGATCCCTGCACGGCCCGGCCCAGGCCGAGGAAGTGATCCCCAGCGGGGTCACCCCACAGTGGGAGAGGACCCACGACAGTGCTGGCCTGCTCATCTGACCTCCATCTTGCTGTCCCCAGGCTCCTCAGACCTGAACCCCTTCTCGGACCCGCGCCAGTTCGACCGCTCCTTCCCCACGCTGCAGAGTCTCACAGAGAGCCGCTTTCCGGACCCCAGGATGCACTACCCGGGCGCCATGTCCGCCGCCTTCCCCTACAGCGCCACGCCGTCGGGCACCAGCCTGGGGAGCCTGAGCGTCGCGGGCATGCCGGCCAGCAGCCGCTTCCACCACACCTACCTCCCGCCGCCCTACCCCGGGGCCCCGCAGAGCCAGAGCGGGCCCTTCCAGGCCAACCCCGCGCCCTACCACCTCTTCTACGGCGCCTCCTCCGGCTCCTACCAGTTCTCCATGGCAGCCGCGGGCGGCGGCGAGCGCTCGCCCACCCGCATGCTCACCTCCTGCCCCAGCGGCGCCTCGGTGTCCGCGGGCAACCTCATGAACCCCAGCCTGGGCCAGGCCGACGGCGTGGAGGCCGACGGCAGCCACAGCAACTCACCCACGGCCCTGAGCACCCCGGGCCGCATGGACGAGGCCGTGTGGCGGCCCTACTGAGCACCCTGGAGACTTGCGGGCCGCCCGGACCGTCCAGCCCCTACAGGAAAAAAACAGACTTTGGCCTGGTCCCAGGGACCAGAGCTGGTGATGGCTCCCAGAGCTCTGTCCAGCCTCGAGTTTGAACAGAGGGAGGATGTGGGGACCTCCCACAGGACACTGCCCCAGCCCAGACCCTGTCCCTCTCCCTGCCCCACCCAGGGTCATCCCCTGAGTCAAAGGCTACCCCTGCCCACCCCAGGGACCAGCCCTCTCTCTCTCTCTCTGCAGCCATACACGTCCAATCAACTGGAAACCCCAATCCCTGAGATGGCGTCACTCCCCTGTAGAGGAGGAGGGCCCAGGGCACACCCACATCAGCCCCAACTTGACTTCCCCACGATGCCAGGCAAGCAGCCCCTGACCAGCTCTAGCTTAGCTGAGGACGATAGGCTGCCGAGCAGGCTCCTCCCTGATGGCAGGTCCCTAAAGCGAGGAAGGCCTCAGCGCCTACAAGTGCATTCCAGCCCGAAGAGCCCCGGGGACAGAGAGGTCCTGGCAGAAAGTCTTAACTGTGAGGATGGATGGGGTCTTGCCTCACGACCCACAGCCCCGTTCCCAACTTGTTAGCACCGAGAAGCAAACAACCCTGACAGTGCCCATCCTCCACTAAGTGTCTCCGTCAAGCATTTTAAATCAAGGTCTCTGACAGGCGAAGTTCTGTGTCTATGAAAGCCTCCCGCCATTCACACCTCATATTCCTCACAGAAGGGACCAAAAGCTGGAGGAGTTGTGTGGGGGCTCTGGGGAGTGGTGTCCAAGCAGAGGTCAGAGGGCATCGTGAGATCTGGCAGATGGGAAGGGAGGCCGTGGCCTCGAGCTTGGATTATGGGAATTGTGGGAGGTTGGTGGGATGGGTTAAAAAGTTCTTAACCAGAGCTGGCCCACAGGTGTTTTTTTAAACTGCGTGAGCCACATCCTCTGTGGCCACTGAACCCTCCTCTTCAAGGTTCCTTAGGGACGATCTCTGTCACAGTGCTTGGCCTTCTCCCGTTGCCCGTCCCTGTATCAGCTACATACACACTCTGGCAGGTCAGGGAGTCCTGACAGTCCTGGGCGGATACCTCCCGTTACAGTTTCCTTTGTCCCACCCTCACTGGGGAGGAAATTCTATCTCTTGGAAGTAGCTGAGGTAACTTTCCAGCTCTCCTCACCCAGAGGGGCCTCCTTGCCTCTTCTCAGGAAGCAGCTCTAACCCATTACTCTCCTACCTGCTTTGCTACCGGTCCATGGTGTGGACTGTGTCAGCTCACCAAGGAAGGTACTTTCAGGATCCCAGCGCCTACCACCGTGTAAACCACCCCAGACAGCTACCCTTCCTGATACCCAAACGCAGACGGAGATTTAAAAAAATCACCACCACCAGCCCCCACCCCCTTCCTGGTCATCGCTATTCTTTCCCACCCCTGACTAACAGTGACAGCTGAATCTGTTGTTGGTCCCACGGTGAATATAAGCTGTTTAAAAACAAACAAAAAAACAAATGGGTCCTCATTTGTAAGGCTACTTTAAAGTGCTACTTGAAAGCACTGGCTAGAAAGAAAAGCACAAGGAGGCCGAGGGGTTGATACAATGTTACCGAGCGAGCGTGGGTTGGGCACCGGTCTTTTGTAACATTGCTGCCCTGAGGCACCCTACCTGCTGTGAGCGGGTCTTCCTGAGGCAGGCTGAGAGCTGAGGGGCACCGGAGGGCCTGCTTTGCACTATCGGCTGCTTGGTGTGTTTGTTGTTGGTTTTTTTTTTTAATGCACAACTTGCTTGTACAGTCCAACTGCCCATCTTGGGTACTATTTAACTGTAAAATGAAAACTGTATTTGTTACAATAATATAACAGATGGCTTGAAGGACCCCGTGTCAGGCTTCTGAAGTTACAAAGGTGGGCAAGAGATGAGGGAGGGGGCTGGACATGGTTGAGCTGGTTGTGTGGGTGCTACACCCCCCCCCCGGGCTGGGGAGGCCTCCATCCATCAGGGTGGCTACCAAGGACCCCGGCTCATGAACCTGTGGAAGACCACCTTCCTGGATGGGCTGGGACCCCGAACATCCGATGGGCCTTCAAGATTACATTGACCCTCTTTCCCTCAGCTGTCTGTGTCCATCGCGCAGACTCGGTAGCCACTGCAGGGTCCTATCTGACACCTAGAGATACAGATTGGGGGAGGGACAGGTTGAGGGAGCAGCCAGCCACCCCAATGATCACGTTTGGAGTCAGGTCCTCTCTAGGATGGGTGGTGAAGACATTCCCAGAATGAGAGACCCTACGGGGATAAAGACGCCCCTGGGGAGCCCCTATGAGGTAGACACACCCCTCGCCCCTCTGGCATCTGCTCGGTGACACACTGGCAGCAGAGGAGACAGGGCTGCAAGGCGGTCATTCAGAGATGAGGTCATTCTGACCAGCAAAGAGAGCTGCCATGGGCTCCACGGCTCCCTGGAACTGGTAGTTGCCAAGCTGAGGCCAGAGCCTGAAACAGGAGTCTGTGGATGGTGTGGGGAGCTGGCTTGCTAACCCCTTTCTACCCTTCCATCAGGGAGGCCTGGAACCGCACCGCCAACCTGTGCCTGACTGGACGGGACAGACAGACAGATTTTCATAAGACAGATGTGGCTCTGTGACTGTCATTTCAGAGTTCCAAGACCTTGCCGAGTTGTGTCTAACAGGAAGTTCTTGTTTTCCTAGCTTAGACCCTGGACCCTTTTTTACCCAGCAGCACCTCTGTCCCACAGGTACAGATGTCCTACAGGTACGTCTCCGGGTACACCCTGGGTGGGTCACCCAGTAGGATCTTTCCCTGGGTTAGAACAAACCTGGAAGTGTCTTCACAGCGCACACGCTTCTATCTGGCTTGTCTGAGGGTGGACCTGCAGGTGGCCCCTACAACTCCAGAGCTAAACCCCCCGACTTTAACTCCTGTCACCTACATCCCGCTTGTCAAAAGGAAACAGACCAGAAGTCAAGGGCCCTGGCGGGACGAAACCAGTGCAGTTACCTCTGCGGCCTGTAGGTGGCGGCAGGAGAGACTTCGAGACGGCAGAGCGGGAAGCAGCCATTGGTTGCCCCGTCAAACCACAACTCCCCACCTTAGCCCCCTGCTTTGGAGAGGACGCTGTTAGGGAGAGCTCCGCAGCCTAGGGCGAGTCGAGTCGCTCTTGCCCTGCCCGGGGCTTCCTCATCCTGCAGGGGCAGTGACGGTAGCAGCTTCCTGTCCCTGCCCCTCACAGCCACCCTGCTGGTCACATGTACCAGATGGTAGCGTGGTCACAGACCCTGAGCTCCTAGGCGCCACGGTGACAGTGACACGCAAGGAAGAGCTGAGTTCTGGGTAGGAAGCCAAGCCCCAGTTAGGGGGAGTCAGAGGGTCCGAAACTGCCAGCCCAGGTGAGGGGGCCAATCTGCTGCCAGCCCGGAAGTCCTCATGGCTCATCTGACAGCCCAAGGAACCCACTGCCGTGATGGTCCGCGTCTGGCTTAGCGGCAAACTGGGAGGCAGCTCCCAGGAAGGCCCCAACCCTGCGACGTCAGGCCTGGGATGGCTTTGACTCTTGTCCTGAAAAGCGCACATCCTGTCTGGGCCAAGGGGAGACAGGTCTGGATGAGCCCACGCTGTGGGACATGAGGACAGGACCTGACACGGACCCGGATCTGCCCCCCTTCTCAAGCAGCACCCCTCCCTGCCTCAGACCGAACTCCTGCAAACAGCCAGAGTCCCAGCATGGGCCCTGCGCCCCACACCTCGCCTCGGAGCCCTTGAGTGGCTCCGTTCATCTCAGGGTCATAAATGAAATGAGCTGTCAAAGGAGCCGAGTGTGAGAACCCTCTCTGGCAGAGACCCAGACCGCCCCCCCCACTCCTCCCCATGGGGCCTTGCGGAGTGCGGGTGAGGGCCCGTGGCCCCCCAATATCCGCTGCTACACCTGTGTGGTCCAGGCCAGGGGAGTCTGGGAAGCCGGATTCCAAGCTTCCTATTTTTAGTTCGCAACCAAGAGTGGGCTGTTTGTTTTATATATTTCTATCCATCACGGAGTGCCTGCCTGAGCCAGCCGGGAATGCAAAGGGGTGGTGGCCCGGCTACTTCCCTGCTGTGCCCCAGTGCCGGAAACGGCCAAGACTCCCCGGTACACTAGCTGGTGGGTGGCTGCCATTGGCCACACAGCCCACTGCTTCTGCGGACGGTTTCTTCGAGGCTCTGGCCTCAGCTCTTTCAGTCATTCCCCGGGTCCCGTCTGCAGATGAACAAGTCACGGCAAAACAAAGTACTCCTCTCCAGGCAGAAGGACAGGACAGCAGGTTGTAGCAGGCACAAAGGGCTGCTCGGAGGAGGCGTCTCTCTCCCCCTCAGACAAGAGGGAAAGGGGAGATCACTGGACAGGTGGGACGGCCTTCTCCATCCGGGAGGGTCTCGTGTATACAGGTCTGGGGGGTCGGCTTGGGATTGAGCTGGAAAGGAGGGTGGGGAAGGGGAGCCGGCCCTGGTCATGGGGTGCTGGGAAGCCAAGCTGAGGGGTGTCAGGAAGAGAGTGAGAGAAACGTGTTTGCAGGCCTCCCAGCGGTCTGAGCTCAGGAAAGGGAAGCTGTGAGCTAAGAAGCAGGAAGAGCAAGACGATCCCTGAGGTCGCAGAAAGGACTCCATGTCATGGCCACGGTCCAGTTTAGACGAGCTCGAATCGTGCAGTTTTGGCTGTCCTGGAACTTGCTACCTAGACCCAGCTGTCCTCGAACTCTCCCACCATGCCTGGCCAGGGTGAATGGCGTTTAGCGGAGCCATTGGAACGAGGTTGGAGGAGCAGTCGTTGTTCCCACTCAGTTCTTTCGGGATTTCCTCAACCCTATCTCAGCATCCACATCGGAGGCCTCTGGCTGCAGCCAAGGTCCCGGCACCGCAGCCTGGTCCAGCCGTACACTCTCCTCCGGAGACTGGGAACATGAGGTTAGGAGATCGAAGTCCCAGGTCTCATGTGGCCCAGGCTGGCTTTGAGCTCCAGATCCTCCGCCTCCCAAGTGCTGAGCTCACAGGTGTGCACCACACCTGCTGAATAGTGCCTTCTAAAGTGACATCAAATAATTCTTATTCATGGAAGGAAAAAAAAATAGAGCAATACAGATTCCTAAGGGAACATAAGAAAACCTACTGATAATTTCATTCCCTCCAAAAGCGGAAGGTGAGCACTTGGACTATTTCGAGTTTTCTCACACTCAGGCCTTTGTTGTTTATTTTTGTTAATTTAATTTGTTTTTATTAATTACAGTTTATTCACTTTGTATCCCAGCTGTAGCCCCCCCAATCCCACCCACCCACCCTCCCTCTTTTTCTCCTATGCCCCTCCCCCAATCCAATGACAGGGGAGTTCCTCCTCCCCTCTTTGTCATTTATTAAATATATTAATACTTAAGAAAAAAATCTTTCTAGCCATTCACACTACTCGAAATTTATCGATGAAATTTCAAACTAGATAAAGAGCCAGGCACAGGGGCTCACCCAGCCAGCACTCAGGAGGCAGAGGCAGGTAGATCTCTGTGGGTTCGTAGCCAGCCTGGTCTACAGAGCGAGTTTCAGTTTCCCATAGATCGAGTCTTCAAAGTCAAAAGCCAGTGCCTCAAGGGGGTTAACGCCAGCGCTGTAGGGAAGCGAGGCCATTCTCAGGATCCCGTGTTGTGCCTTCCATGACATAATTTTTCTATAAAAGCCATCATCAGAGGAGAAAGGGGGAAGTAGAAATGAGAAAAAAAAACGTCTTTTCTTAAAAGCAGAAGTGGGAAGAGCTCAAGCCTGAGGATGAGGCTCCACAGAGCAGCATCTGCCTGGTGTATGTATGTTAGGCCTCACTCCACACCCAGCCCCACACGAGCCAGGCACGGGGGCTCAGGCCTGTAATGGGAGGTAGCTTGTGGGAGGTAGGAGTAGGGGGAGCAGGAATTCAAGGTCTCTTCAGGTGCACTGACCTGGAGACCAGCCTGGGCTACATGAAACCCTGTCTAAAAAAAAAAAGGAAGAAAAGAAGAGAAGATAGAGATAGATAGATGATACATAGGTTGATAGAAAAATAGATAAATAGATGGATGGATAGATAGATAGATAGATAGATAGATAGATAGATAGATAGATAGATAGAT